GCGCGCCCGACGGACCTGGGCGGGCGAATGTGCTCGCTCCGCAGGTCGGCAACCTGCCCCCACCCGTCCTAGCGCACCTTTCCCTTCTCGGTCGCCATCTGAGGGGACACAGACAACTTTGTAACATTTGCCGTCATCATCAGCCCTGTAAGTGCATCGCTTCATTTCATCCTAAAAGCGAGACGGGACGGACCTGGGCGGGCGAATGTGCTCGCTCCGGAGGTCGGCAACCTGCCCCCACCCGTCCCTTCTCGGTCGCCATCTGAGGGGACAAAGGCAACTTTGTAACATTTGCCCTCATCATCAGCCCTGTAAGTGCACTGCTTCATTTCATCCTAAAAGCGAGACGGCTGCATTTACATGATGAGACCCGCGTCCCGAGTGGTTAGAACACCGGTAAGTGGCAGACGCAGAATTTGAAGCGAGGTCTGTGGTCAGTCTGATTACAGGGCAGACCGCTGCCTGCGACAGAAATGTCTGCAATCGTCCAGGAAGAGCAAGACAGGCACGTTCCTCCTTGGCGGCTTTTAAAGATCAACTTTATATTGTTGAGGTATAATAGATATATGATGGAAAAGTACCCACTTAAAGTGTACACTTCGGTAAGGGTTTTTTAGATTTTTTCTTATTGTGGTAAAATATGCAAAACATAAAATTTACCATTTTAAGCATTTTAAGTGTACAGTTCAGCGACATTAAGTGCATTCATAGTGTGCGACAACCATCATCACCATCCGTCTCCAGAGCTTTTTCATCATCCCAAATGGAAACTCTGTCCCTATTAAACAGTAACTCCCCATTCCTCCTCCCACAGCCCCCGTACTCTATGCTACTTTCTGTCTCTATGAATTTGACTCCTCGAAGTACCTAAAATGTGGAGTTATACAAATTTGTCCTTTTGTGTCTGGCTCATTTCACTTAGTTTGATGAGTTTGGGCAAATGTGTTCATCTGTGTAACCACCAGTCCAATAAAAATAATAATAATAATAAAAACAAGCCTGGCCAGCATGGCTCAGTGGGTGAGCATCAACCTATGAACCAGGAGGTCATGGTTTGATTCCCGGTCGGGGCACATGCCCGGGTTGCAGGTTCGATCCCAGGGGCGTGCAGGAGGCAGCTGATCAATGATTCTCTCTCATCACTGATGTTTCTATCTCCTTCTTCCTCTCTGATATCAATAAAAAATATTTTTTTAAAAACCACACTCCCTTCCCCCAAAAACTTCCTTCTGGCCCTCTGCAGATAACACTGCACCCCAACTCCATTCTCACCTCCCCAAACCAGCCCTATGAAATCTCTGATCTGCTTTTCATTACTGTAGATTTGTTTGTCCTAGAATTTACATAAATGGTTCATACAATATTTGCACATCTGTGCCTAGCTGGCTCCTTTCACTCACTGTACGGCTTTTCAGTAGTTTGTTGCTGCTATTGCTGAGTGACATTCCATTGTATGAATTTACCCCAGTTTGTTTTATCTTTACACCAGTTGGTGGGCACTGTTTTGTTTTGTTTTTCAATTTGAAGATACTATGAATAAAGTTACCATGAACATTTGTGTAAAAGCTTGTGTGGACATACGTGTTTCTTTATCTTAGTAGCTACTTAGGAGTGGGATTGCTGGGTTATAAAGGTTATAAATTCTTTATGTAGTCTGGTTTTAAGTCCTTTGTCAATAATATGTAGTGAGAGAGAGATTAAAAATGGCGGCAGAGTAAATGGAAGCTACAAGGACACTCTCCCAGGACCAAATTGTAAATACAACTAAAGTACAGAAAAGCCACCCTGAAAAATCCACTGAAGACTCGCTGGAGAGAACCCTGATAACCAAGGACGGAAAGTGGAGACCGCATAGAGGCTGGTGGGAAGTGCGGAGGCGCGAAAGGGCTGGCCAGGCTCCCACAGACAACAGCTGAAGGTCCGGAGGAATAGCTCAGCAGTAGAGGGTTCCCACGGAGAACTCTGGGGTCTAAACCCCAAGCTGGGCTCCCCAGCCCTGAAAACCAGAACTGATCAAGGAGCCCACAGAACATCTGGCTGTGAAAAGCAGCAGGGTTGCTGTATGACAGCGAGAGATGGCTGGAAATGCAGGCACCCTCTTAAAGGGTTCATGCACAAAATTTTATGTGCAGCCACTCATCTTGGGCTCCAGCAGAGGGAGGGCAGAGTGGACTGAAGCTGTGTGAGGAGAGACCAGGTTTGAAAACCAGAACTGATCAAGGAACCCACAGAACATCTGGCTGTGAAAAGCAGCAGGGTTGCTGTCTGACAGTGAGAGATGGCTGGAAATGCAGGCACCCTCTTAAAGGGTTCATGCACAAAATTTTATGTGCAGCAACTCATCTTGGGCTCCAGCAGAGGGAGGACAGAGTGGACTGAAGCTGTGTGAGAAGAGTCCAGGTTTGGGGCCCTGGGGTTGGAGCTCAGAGAGCAGGCATCCCAGTTTCCTGTGCTGAGCCATTCCCTCATGCTGCGGAGAACATCTTTCTCTGAGGACCTTTGCTATCCAGGTGGCTTTTGCCTGGGGAGAAGGCAGTTGCCCCACCCTGTTGGAAGACCTCTTGCCCCATCCTGTGGTCTATAGCCTCAAGCAAGTTAAGACTGAGAATAACAATCAGACTGCAGGCAGAGGCGGATCTCTGGAGGCTTTGAGTCTTGGACTGGTCTTCTTCTGGGCCTGGGTTAGGAAAAGCAGAAGCATACCTTGAGGCACATCTTAGTCTTTTCCAAAGACACAAAGCTCCTACAGAGAGAGCCATAAGCTATCAGTTGTTGATAGCTCCAAACAGGGTATGCAGGGCCAGTCACAGACAGTGTCCGACACTGTCCTGCACTAGAGATTGGGAGGCATAGCAGATCTATATAATACATAAACCCAAACCCAAACAGGCAGCCAAAATGGGAGACAAAAAAAACAATCCCCAAAAGAAATAACAAGGTAATTCTCCAGAAGAAGAGCTAAATGAAGTGGAGATAAGAAACTTACCATAGAGTTCAGAATAATGATGGCAAAGATGCTCAACAGCTTGAGAAAAGACATAGTAACTATGAAGAATTACATAGCACTAATAAAGAATATATTACAGGGATTCAACAGAAGGTTGAGAGTAGAGGATTCTGAGACTCAATAAACAACTTGAAATATGAGGAAGCAAAAACAAAAACAAAACAAAAACACCCAAGAAGATCAAAAAAAAAGAAAAAAGAATCCAAAAATATGAAGATAGTGTAAGGAGCCTCTGGGACAACTTCTGGGGGAGGGGGTGCCAGAAGGAAAAGAGAGAGAGCAAGATATTGAAAATCTATTTGAAGAAATAATGACAGAAAACTTCCCCTACCTGGTGAAAGAAATAGA